ATACGGTGGATAGAAGAAATCCTGCACCAGTTGATAGGTGGTTTATCATCATCCCCTCTCGACGCAGGAACTGATTGCAGAAGCCAAAGGAGGCCGCGGGCGCTGATTGCAGAAGCGCGTCGCGTTGACAGAAGCACTGGGCTGTGGGACGGTCAATTTATCTACCTATCTGTCCATTAATGTATCTATCTTGCTACCTCTGTTCACATGTCACATGTGTGCGTATATATACGTAATGTAATGTAATGTATATATATTTATATATGCATATATACACTCTATCTACACCTTGTCGATCCAAACACTTCCTTAGAAGGTAAGTACTTAAAGTCAGAAATTATACCCCAAACACTTACATTCAGAGTGTACTTGCATCCACAAACATATTTTGCATATATATATATATGTATATATATATATGTACTGATTGGTGGTTTGGAACATTTTTTATTTTTCCATAATATATGGGATAATCTTTCCCATTGAGGGGGTTGAAACCACCAACGTAAAAGCGCCAGGTCTGGACGTCTATGGCCGCCGCCGCGGTGCAGCCACCAGCGGTGTGCAGGAAAGAAACTCGGTTTGAAATATCCGGCGATGCATCAACAAAAAACAGGCCACCCGTGGGGATTTCATGATTTCATGGATAGAAGATGGGGATCAACATACCTATGATGGGGATCAATACCCAACAAAACTCGATAAAAAATGAGGATTTGATATGATTTTGATGGGTTTTAAGGTGCTCTTGAATAGGATTTTTCATGGATCAAACATGGGGATCTTTTCTGGGATTTCACGGAAAGGCTTCATGAGGAGATAGGACCAGATAGGATGCCTCCGCTGTAGCCATGACGGTTTCTAAGGGGGAAAATCATTGGTGGATTTTCCAGACCATGTGAGATCATCAGCACATAGCACTTGATATGAACGATCTACTGTGGGAAAAAAAACACATTGCAACCAGGACGATTCGGTGTCTCGTTTTTCGGGATCCATTGTGGGTGTCTCAAACTGGCGGACTTGCTCTCAAAATATGGCCTTTCTAATGAGGAAAATGATGGCAATAGCAACACCATGAACGGTTTTTATGCGGATCCAAATTTGGAGACCATCCCCGAATATCCCAGATTGAACACCAAATAAACTGAAATTTATACGCGAATCATTGTAACACCCTGGAAACGCTCCTTTATCTTTCTGGCGACGGGACCAGATGCATTTCCCCGCACAGTGCGACTGGGATGATGGTTCCGTTTGAACTCAAGAACCCGATCACCGGTCACCAGCCAAACAAAACTAGCTTGACTGGGCAACATGGAGTATGAATGCTGGGCATCTAATGAAATATGCCATTGGGCAATGCTCAGCTCAATTCTGACAAGCATTGGGCCATTGTGTGATCCCGACATCCATGAAAAGTCCAAGGATGTTATAAGTTATCAGTAAAAACAACAACCCACATTTCACTATATAAATTGATATGTTTTATGCTGTTTGAAATGTGGGTAATATAATATTATGGATGTGGGTTGTAATTTCACTATATAATTATATATATAATAACTTATAGATTTTATGTTGTTTCTAGCCAACTGAGACCAACCGGCCTGAGGTGTTCAGACCCCCAGTGCTGGTCCTCGCAACAGCTTAACCACTGTGACTCGCCAGTCATGCCCCGGAAATTCAGCAGGTGGAATGTACAAAGAATTACCAAGCGTGTTGAAGAGTGTTGGTGTGTCCAAAATGGAATGCCCCAGAATTTTGAGTCTTCTCAGTCTTATCATGTTTATCTACAATGAACTGTACTTGTCGCGGTCATTTTGGAGTGATTCCATTGCTGGACCCCACTTGGGGACTTTGAGGAGAAATCTACCATTTTCAATAGTGAAATCATTTTGGGAACACTATATCTTGGAGTTTGTTGGGGGGGTATTCATTATCATTATTCCGGGTGTGCATCTGAAAATTCGAAATTACAGAATCAACATGGCATCCGAATTTGTGATATGTAAAAATCCACGTGGAATTGTCCAAAATGGGGGACCAAAACATTGTTAAGGAATCCCGCTTTTCGGCAGAATCCTCAGTTGAGAAGCATTCCCTTGGGCCCCCAGGGGATGTGAAAACCATATGAGTCATGGCCCATCGTGAAAATGATGGCCTTGCCGCCCGTAGAACAGCCGCACGGGGTGACCGTGCCAAGTCAACCTGAATGGTGTCTACTTGGTATACTCTAAAGCCTCACAGTACCCAGCAAGAGTTTCTTGGCAAGACACCCATTGAACGATTTGTTTCATGTTCTGGGCGCTTGAGATTTATTTTGGTTTCTGAACATATCAGGGTTCGCAAGTTAAACACACTCAAGTTGAAAAGAAGCTATGTATCACTATGTACACAGCCAAAGCTGTTTACCGTGTTTACCAAGATATTTGATGTTGAGCCATTGACCATCAAATGGGAGGAATATCGGCATATCCCCCATTTAATTGCTGATTCTATGGTGATATCATGTATATGTATATATATATGTTATGATATTATGTATTATGATATGATATAACCATTTGTCACCAACAATTAAATGGGTGACTTTCCATCCATTCTATATCCCGTTTATCGGTGTGTGCGAGGTCGGGTCTCTTCCGAGCAAGGCAGATCGACAGAAGGCGGCGTAGGGATGCCTAGTGTGATGGGAGGAATAACGGGATTGGTTTCAGGGAACTTTACAGGAAAGCCCCATATTTAATGGGAAAATCTATTGTTTTATATGGTTTTATATTATGTTTTGTTCAATGGTTTTATATGGTTTTTATATGGTTTTATATTGTGTTTTTTTTAGGTTTTATATGGTTTTATATGGTTCTATGACATTGTTTTTGTTTGTTTGTTTGTTTGTTTGTTTGTTCGTTCGTTTGTTTGTTTTTCAACTGGAATTTAAAAAGAGGTTCTGACGGTTGGGATTAAATTTCAGTTGCGGCAACTCGGCTTCTAAAAGCGAGAAATATGTTTCTTGCAAATAGAACCTGCTCATTGCACCACACAGGTTAGGGGTTAAAATAACATTGAATCAAACACATGTTTATTGGCTTTCAATCAATCAGTTGGTACTGTATGAAACTTGACCACTACTGACTGAGTATACGCCAATAGTGCCAGTGGTTCATCATAAGTTGCTACGTGGCGTGGATCGATCACAGGATGTGTCCCATACTACGCCAGGGTCTATGGAGTCTATGATGGATGACACTGCACCTTGCAGAAATGCGTCAACAGTGATTTCTTTGATAGTTGGGTGATAACATCTCACCACATCTGTTACCACATCTAACCACACCTAACCACATGATACCTCAGTTATGAAACTGGGCCGCCCGTGTCTGAGGTTGGAGAGGCTGAGAAATCCGGTGATGAAGAAAAAAGATATGTCGCCGCCCAGGAGACGAAAAGCTATCCATTGTTCTGCATGTTCTGCGAGTTGGTTCTTTTTGGCATTGACCAGCCTAGAAGAAATCCGAAGACATCCCAATACAAGTCTTCACTCTAGTTCAATCCGTGTATTGCCAAAACAAATGGATTGTCTAAAGTACTGTAAAGGTCTTCTATCCGAATATGTATATATATATATATATTTGTATACATACACGTATATATATATACACACACTATATATATATACACACTATATATATATGTGCATAGGTAATATTTTCTGACATTATGTCATTTACCATTAAAATAATTTCAATTTTACCTACTAATATATTCCATGCAGATGTCACAGATAAGTTACCTTAAAGATAATAGACACAAATAACATTCCGCAGTACTAGAAACATATACCAATCTATTCATCTGATATGTGATATGTTCTTGGAGCACCACTGGGCGTTGCTGTCGGACAGGACGCGCGTGTATCGAGAAAAGACCTCGCGGAGTAGAAGCAGACGCTTGGATCAATGGATATGGAACGACTGAAACTGGAAATTCCATGGGTTTTCACCATGTCTTTGACTCAAAATTCTTGGGGGTTCCATTGTTTTTTGTTCCATAAAACTGGCATTGGAGTCTTTTGAGCTCCAATTCTCAACGGGGATGCAGCTGGATGTTCCTCACCCTGCCGGCTGGTCACCAAGGAGACAAAAAGACTGGAACTCAGTGGATCGAAAAGTGGGTGATCCCATGGCACAGCTGGATCAACCAAGTTCTGTGGATGATCATTAGTGGAGATACACGTCAAGTGGGCGATGATCCCATGGTAATTTATAAAAACAACCTGAGTCATGATGGGATCAAAGTGTCAGAATGTGTCAGAATGCCAGTTGATGTATGATTTGTATGACGATATTCTTGTTATGATATGTATGATATGTATTTGTATGATTATATATATATATCCCAAGATGATGATGTATAATATTCTGGTTATCATCCTGTTGTTCGTATCAGTTGCCATGTTGCCATGTTGCTGTAAGTTGCTCAATGAGATGGCTTCCAATAGTCATACTTTCACAGCACTGGGTGTCTACCATTGTTTAACAGAGGAAAAATGTAATACCCTCTAGTGATTTGATAAAGCAAACTGGAGAATCACAATTTTTAATGGGGAAAATCATCAAACAACATCTATAATATTCTATAATAAATGGACCATTTTCCATATCTATGTTAAATATCCAGACGGTAGATGTCCACAGCAGTGATGGACCAGTTGCATCCAGTTGCAGTCATCAAATGTGTGTCATATGCTCCGTGAATGGTGTATTTGTGGTGGTACCCTCTGGTTATTTAACATAGCTTTGGAACATGGTCCATTTATAGATGGTTTACCTATTAAAAATGATGATTTTCCATGGCTATGTTGAAGAACCAGATGGTAAATCTTGGCCAATATTCCAGCACCATGGAGCAGTGATAGCTTGACAGGCGAAAACAAAGCAGACTTCCTGTGGTTTTTTTATCAGCAGCGGCGGTGCCGGTGCAGGCTTTTCCTCAGCGCCATGCATGAGCCAATGCGAAGCCATATTCTCATGGAGCAAAGCTTGAAAAAGGACAGATGGGATGGGATGGGGATACTATTCAGTGGATGTGATGTTAGTATTTATTGTATTTTTGAACGTCAACATGAGCACATATGCGCCATGATATACTTGTAAGGATTGAACGGTTCAAGTTCAAGCCTGTCCGACATATCAGATTTTGGTTACAGTCTTAAAGTCATGCAATCACCATGGGAATGAAGCGGCCAGTTTCCCATGGTTGAGGTTTTGAGCAGACCATCAATAAACAGAGACTTTACTCTCAAATCAGCAGGACAAGTTGGTTTGGTTTCCAGCCAACTTCCAGACACCTTTGCTTAAACCCAGTGTTTGGTGGGATGCTGCTGTATGCCCGCGGCAGGGGGCAGGGTTCTTGTTGACGTTCATGCGAAGTTCCAGGCGCCAACACACCTGGGGTGATATGCAATGTTCTGTCTATCTACATATAACTATACATATATACATATTATATATATACACGTCCATACACAAATATGTGTATATATATATACATGATATATATGATATAATTGTACGGACATATTATCAATATGACAGTTGCTATAGAGTACACATGCTACGGAGCTGTCGATCTGCGTCGTCTGCCCAACACGTCGCTAGTGCGCCAGGAGAGGATGGCGTTGGAACGAGACCCGCGTCTCGGCGAGGGCGTAGGGCGTAGATGTATTAAGTAAAACTGCAATGATTGGCACATAATAATATATATATGTGTTATACTATGATGTTTGACTATGACTATGATGTTTGACTATGTTTGACTACATATAGTACTATTCACATATATATAATATATATATATATGTATATGTACATCTAGTTCTTGTGATTATACAAATAACAAAAACAATCCTTGGATGATTTGCTTTAAACCACAGTTAAGTTTTTGTCCAATGCTTCCAAGCCGCATTTGAGCTGGTCTGAAAACCTCCCTTTACAATTTTAGTGACGGCCTTGTCATAACGAGTTTGGCGTAAGCAAAACCCTCACTTGCGTAAGGCTGCGTAAGGACTTCGCGTAAGCATGGCGTAAGCTCTGGCGCACTCAACATGATGCGACATAGCGAGTGACTGAAGGTTTTTAGAATGGTTTTGAAAGATGACGATGCACGGATCTTTGTCTCCGTCGGTCAATCAACATGGGTTTGTCCTTAAAACTGTTGTGTGTGTCCCCGAACTTGCCATGGCATATTGATCCATTTCGGAAGCCAATTTGGAGACAAGGCCGCCACATCCAACCAGCCGGTAACCAAAGCCCAGATGTGAGGATTGGTCCAAGCAAGGAAGAACAGCAGAGAGAGGAGGTGGCGAGGGCGATGATGGAAGGATAGTCGCAGTTGAATGAGACAAGAAAGATATCAATATGTACCACATATATATATGTATATATATACTGTAGTAGAGATAAGACATTGGCAGAATAGATGACACTTTGAAAACATGAATCATCGGAAACATTGGCATGAACCATTGACAACATTGCTTGTTTTCCCAAAAAACACCTTAGTGATTTAGTGATCCCATGGTGTTTCTTCATGGTCACCATGGTCGATCTGCAGGAGGAGCGCTTTAAGCAGATTCTGGAGCTAAGTCAGCGCAGCCTTGGAATGAGCCAAGTGCCTTGGATTTTCTGCTGAGACACCCCCAATGATGTTAGTTGGTTGACGCAGCTATGGAAAGATCCACCATTTTTAATGGGAAAATCCACTATTTCTATGGTCATTTTCAATAGCTAGGTTAAATTACCAGAGGGTAGTTGGTTTATAGACCCCATGATTTTTTTTTAAGACGAATTTCTTGTATAGTTAAGTTATATTCCCCATAAACCATAGCTAACAATAGTTTTAAGTCAACTTAGGTCTTGTTCGGCCTCACCTTGTATGTGGGAGGAAAAGAACATGCCCAACAACACAGGAGACTGCCGAACTGTTGGCCATTGGTACTGGGCGATACCATTACCAAGATGTATTTTCCAGTTTGCCTACCAACAAAAACAGCATGAGAAAGACGGGATGTGTCCATAAACGCCAAGCATCGTGATGTGACATGCAGAAAAAAATCCATGCTGATGGCAAAGGAGATTACGAATTATTGTAAGTGCAGTGTCCGCACACCAAGCAGAGCAGGGCACTGACGCAAACAAAGTGGGAACAATGGCTGCTGTCAATTCATGCCATGCTTGATTGAATACAGCAATGACAGCAATCCGCCAACAGTTGGGGACTAACAAAAATAAAACAATGTTTGGATAGCTTCCGCCACACATTTCAATATGACCCAATTTATGGTGATTTTGCGGATCAGTTTCGGCGAAAAAAGGTCGAGCTTCCTGCGTGGATCTTCTGGTGATGGGTTATGTTTTCAGCATTGCGAAGGTATTACTTAGCTGAGCATTTAGATATGGGGGTTTCCATCAATGGGGATACCCCAAAATGGATGGTTTATAATGGAAAATCTTATTAAATTGGATGATTTAGGGGTACCCCTATTTTCAAGAAACCTCCATATATTCAGATCATGTGGGAAATCGAACGGCATAAACCTACGATTTGGGGATGGTTGATAGCACCCATGAACATGTTTATTTTGGTTTGGTTTGTCATTGGCTTTCTCACATTAATTCTGATTGTCATGTTAAGATTTCAATAAACTAAACAACCATATTTGGTATCTAGGATTGTTCCAGTTGATATGTGTGGTTCCAGTTGAAGTTTAAATTACCCATGATTGGTAAACTGTTATTATACACTTTGATCTTAAGAACTGACGTTTTTCATGTTTTTGTTTCTCTGTGATTGTCAAAGGTAATATCATGATGTCATGTCATGTCGTTGGTTTGCTCATCTCATAGAATTGGATGATGGGACAATTTACAGGAACCCCCTATATTTGATGGTAAAAACCATGGTTTCCTGTAGATTTTCCCTTAAACCAATCCATTGAACATCATCTATGGTCGTCATTGGCATCCCAGCTCAGAGACCCTGGAGATTCTGAGAGTTTTTCCCGAGGCGAGCGCTACACCTTTGCGGAACATTCTTCCCTATAGGACCGGTGGTTGTTTGACTCTTCCTGCGCTGATGGATGTAAGAAATGGATGCAAATAGATTGGACATATCTATAGTATTCTATAGTTAATATAGATATATATATATATACATACATACCAGCCGAGCCGAGTGACGGAAGTTTCCAACAGGGGGGAATTCGGAAGCCTATAAAGAAAAGGAGAACGACGTTTGACCGTTTGGTGGTCACAGCCGTTGACTGCGTGATCTCTTGGAACTCCTTGTCCTTGACACTTCTTTCTCTTGACATCCTTTCTGATGCCGCCACTGTCTCTTGATCCGGTTTGTGTTTGTCATCTCTGAATCTTGACAGCCCTTCCTGTTGACAGCTCTGAGGCCCGAGACCTGAGACTTGTTTTTCTGATGTCATTGCTGTCTTGAAACTGATGATTTTCGGCCGCTTTCTGTTAACGTCTCTTTTTCTTGACATCCCTGTCTTTGGGCAGGGCATATCTTTTTCTTGAAACCTTCTTTCTTGCATCCTTTTGTTTTCACAGTTTTTTGAGACTTCTTTCTGTTAAAACTGTTTCCCCTGAAGCCTGAAACCTTCTGCCTTGTAAGCTTGCACAAAGCACTTCCTACTATTACTCTGTACTACAAACCTTGCACAAAGTACTTTCCAGTACTCAGTACTGTACTACTTCGTACTACAAAGCTTGCACAAAATACTCCCCGACACTACTTTGTACTACAAAGCTTGCACAAATTACTTTCCCGTACTACTTCGTACTACAAAGGTTGCACAAAGCACTCTCCAGTAGTACTTTGCGCTATAGGACTAGCACGAAGTGCTTACCAGTACTATGTGGTGATGTGATGATGTGTTGATGTGTTGATATGGTGATGTGTTGATGTGTTGATGCGTTAATGTGATGGTGTGGTGATGTGTGGCGATGTAGGGTGATGTAGGGTGCTCTGGTGCAATTTAATATGTAATTTAATATGCAATTATGCATGTTTTTCTTGGTTAATATGTGTTTTACATATGATTACATAATAAATTACATATACCATCTGGTTATTTAACATAGCCATGGAAAATCACCATTTTATAGCTAGGTAAACCATCTATAAATGGGCCATTTTCCATGGCTATGTTAAATAACCAGAGGGTATATGTAACCTGTAATGTCATTGCAGTTAAAACCTGTTGTTTTTCAGAGATGTGGCAGGCTGCCGAGGCGGGGGGACCTGGTGGAGCTCTGTGGCCTGCGGCGCAGACAGGAGCTGAACGGACAGCGGGGGGAGGTGCGGTGACCGTGTTGGAGCAGGAGGTATTGATTGTATATTAGATATTTTTTGGTGCATATATACATATATTATTATATTATATAATGTTATATATATTATTATATATATGTGATATGATTCCTGCATATATAATCATATATATACATATATGTGAATATATATATATATATATATAATGTATATGTGTATATATATATATATATATATGTGATATGTAAATATGTATATATATATAAATATATATATATATAACATAGTATAAATAAATATGTATATATGGGATATAACATTATTCTCCGAACATATATATATATATATATATATATATATTATTATAGATTATATAGATTATATTTCATTATCGTTAGGATAACCCCCAATATTCTGAATAGTATGAAAGTATAATTCCATATAATCATCAGCCACCCATCATATACATATATATATAATTGTTTTTTTTTTTAAAAACAATTACTATAACTAATTTTTATGAAGGTTTCCGAAGTCATAGGGGGGTATCCCAAAATCATCCAAGTCATTAGACCATGACGGAGTATTGAAACCTATGGTGAGTTGGGGGTAGCCCATTTTAGGGAACCTCCATATATGCTCATTTTTATGTTTATACGTTTGTACAGATAAAGGAATGTGAGGACATATGTATTTGTTCTAACGGCAATATCAGTCACAATGGGTCATGTCTATACTGGGTCAAAATGGGTTTTATGTCTCCCATTGGAATGCTTGTAATAGGTCACAAAGTAATGACAAACATAGCCCACTTTACAAGTGCTGCAAGTCCAAACGTGATCACAAAAATGGCTAGAACCAACTTGCCTACTTGTGGCTACACATATTATTTACATATACATGATCAGAAAACCAACAACATAAAACCCCATTTCCACCATTAAAAACTGACACTGCACCAGTGACAACCAACAGAGAAACCTGAAAATGGCCAGGTGCAATCAGATAACAACACCTTGGTCCAGGTTCTTTTTTGGCGTTGCCATGTCAGTTTTTAGTGGTGGATACGCACTATTTATACCATGCGGCAACGGGTTGATAGTGGATGTTCATGGCCATGATTCCAAGGTGAATCATGGTGACCAGATTAATGCCCCAATATTCGCGTGGCCACAATACATATGTAAATAATATGTATTTACATATGAATATATACATGTATCTCTATATATACATGTTTAATCCTACATGTACATGCACAGTATATATTTTGTTTCGATGCCGAATTATAGATAGACAAATGTGGATTGGGATGGCGAAGATCCTCACCAAACACCATAAGTGGAGGTCAACCTGTTTCTTCTTGATGGCGCATGCAGAAAATGTTTCGCTGGTGGTTTGGGCCTGCCTCATGTGTTTGTTTTTACCAATGTTGCTTGATAAGAAGCCAGATGTTGGTCAGCACATCCCCAGTTTGCATGGCTGAACAGAAGACAACATTGACAACTATACGACAGCTATACAGGCTATACATATATATATATATACACATACATATATACATATATGTATATATATATACATACATATACATATATATATACACAAATATTTATATATACATGTATGTATATATGTATGTATTACAGATCCATATAGGTATGTGTCTAGCTATTCTTGGTTGGATCCGAATCCCTCGTTTTTTGGACGTGGCACCAGGTGGTGGGCCCCCTGACAGACGAGGGCTTTGTGCAAGTTCAGCTGAAGTCCTCCAAGGCGGAGAACAAATCCACCGTTAAAAATGGGTAGAATGAATGGTATGGTAATGGTAATGGTAGAAATGATATGAAAATTGTATATGATTAATACATATTAATACCTACAATAATGGTACAGTAGCTATATATAAATCCTATTATAATATGAATCTTTAAATGGTATTATGCTACTATCCCATTACTATACCATTTATTAATACTACTATCCCATTACTATACCAATTTATTAATAATAAATGGTATAGTAATGGGATAGTAGTATAAGACTGATAAACAAATAATGAATATTAACCCATACCAGTATCATGTGGTACAATCATGGTGAATACCTATTATATCCACTTTGAAATGGGGTGGTAGTGACACAAACATTGGGTTTGCAGTAGCACATATTGGGTACATTATAGATTGGGTTACTGTAGTACCACAAACATTGGGATTGTAATGAGTTAAAGATGGTCAATTCTGTTTCTACCATCCACAACAAATATACAATAGTCCATGATAGCTGTCTTCCAATCCCTAACTCATTGCAGTCAAATCCTGGGAAGTCTACAATTAAATCCGATCAATTTTGGTCTTGAACATGGACAAAGTAGTGAAATGCAAAAAATGGATGTATTTGGCATTCGGAAATATCTTTGGGTATGATTGACAAACTTGTGGCAATGCGACATCGTTTTTTTCTTTGGATGGTTTTGGCTTCTTAAACCCTTATCTGATTGTAGACAGAACACAAGTGGGTCAATTTGAATTGCCAAAGCTTACAAACACGTGTATTTGGGTGCTGGGGCGTATTTCTCTCTGATTTCTGGTTCTGTTTGTAGTTTGTGGTTGCTGTTCCATCCCTACATGATATTTGGGAAGCCCAGTTCCCACCACTTACGCTATGATCATTGTCCCATTCATATGAGTTGCAGAGATAACATGAGTTGCAGTTTTACCACTCGCAGATGGACCCTTTTTTACCATCGTTAAGTCCCAATGACACCCATAGCGATGCCCCAATGCATTCTTGCCATAGATCCATCACGGTCCATCTTGGGTATAGATCAGCCTGGTCTACCCTGACAGAAAAATGTATATATATATATATATTTATTTCTATGGATCCAGGTCCAAGTACCTTCTTAGGAAGTGTTTGGGGCATATTGGACTTGAAGTACCTCCGGAAAGGGTTTGGATCTAGGGGGCTTGGTAAAGACCACATTTGTTCATAGGATGACCCTGCAGGGCCTGGGGGAGCGCCTAATGTTGCGACCACGCTGCCTGGCACCGGCAGATGAGCAGCTCGTCAGTTTCTCTGATGGGCGTCAATCAAGCACCTCAAGATATAAGGAAATTGGGGATATATCAGGGGGATATACCCTCTGTTAA